AGCACCTCTGAAAAGAAAGGGGGTGGAGACATGAATATCACTAATGTTAGCAACAGATGTACAGCCTTACAATAAATTTCCAGTGTCTACTTTGACATCTATAGCCCTTATTGCCAGCTGTATAGGAATGATGGTGCACTCAATTATATGCATTCATTTCCATAGTAAACTGAAGAGATTTCCCCTTAGATACAGATTGACCTGGGTGCAGTTTTCAAATATTCACTCCAGTCACTCCGTTTTACTGCTTTGAATTTTAGACACAAATAAACACAAACAGTTCCCAACTCTAGAGTGGCTCAATCTAATTTTTTTTTTAATTTGGTGAGAAAGTATACCCACATAACCAATCTCTGTTTCACTTTCAGTACAGTATTCAATATATTATATGAGATATTTAATACTTTATTATAAAATAGACCTTGTGTTAGGTGGCTTTGCCACCAATTGTAGGCTAATATAAATATTCTGAGCGCATTTAAGGTGGTCTAGGCTAAGCTATGATATTTGACAAGCTAAATGTATTAAATGCTTTTTCATATTATGATGGTTTTTCAGGATATAACCCCATGCAAGCCAAGAAATATATGCAGTTCCAACTGGTCTCATAATGACAGAACTGAAATAAATCAAGGTCTTTAACTTTCAATCATGATACTAACATTATTTATTTCAAACCTACTATTTAAAGGTAGGAATATGTCATACCAAAAAGTTAGAGGCAAAAAGTGTGCCCAAAGCAAGTTCAAACAACTCTGAACTATTATGAACTTAATGGAAGCTATCCAAATTAACTTTCCTATACAATATAACATTTATTAAAGGGTGAATAATAAAATGTGCTAATTTAAATCTTATTACTAAAAATAAATTTGTCATGCAAAGAGAAGTGTTAAAAAATTATCTAATATTACCAAAAGTTCTCTATAGGTTTAATGCAATGCCAATCAAAATCCCAAAGGCATTTCTTGTAGAAATAGAGAAAGAAATCATGAAATTCATATGGAAAAATAAACGACCCAGAATAGCAAAAACAATGCTAAGCAGGAAGTGTGAATCAGGCGGTATAGCGATACCAGACTTCAAACTATACTACAGAGCAATAGTAACAAAAACAGCATGGTACTGGTACCAAAACAGGCGGGTGGACCAATGGTACAGAATAGAGAACACAGAAACCAATCCACAAAACTACAACTACCTTATATTTGATAAAGGGGCTAAAAGCATGCAATGGAGGAAGGATAGCATCTTCAACAAATGGTGCTGGGAAAACTGGAAATCCATATGCAACAAAATGAAACTGAATCCCTTTCTCTCGCCATGCACAAAAGTTAATTCAAAATGGATCAAGGAGCTTGATATCAAATCAGAGACACGCCGTCTGATAGAAGAAAAAGTTGGCTACGATCTACATACTGTGGGGTCGGGCTCCAAATTCCTCAATAGGACACCCATAGCACAAAAGTTAATAACTAGAATCAACAAATGGGACTTACTCAAACTAAAAAGTTTTTTCTCAGCAAAAGAAACAAGAAGAGAGGTAAATAGAGAGCCTACATCCTGGGAACAAATCTTTACTCCTCACACTTCAGATAGAGCCCTAATATCCAGAGTATACAAAGAACTCAAAAAATTAGACAATAAGAGAACAAACAACCCAATCAACAAATGGGCCAAGGACCTGAACAGACACTTCTCAGAGGAGGACATACAATCAATCAACAAGTACATGAAAAAATGCTCACCATCTCTAGCAGTCAGAGAAATGCAAATCAAAACCACCCTAAGATACCATCTCACTCCAGTTAGATTGGCAGCCATTATGAAGTCAAACAACAACAAGTGCTGGCGAGGATGTGGGGAAAAGGGTACACTTGTACATTGCTGGTGGGACTGCAAATTGGTGCAGCCAATTTGGAAAGCAGTATGGAGATTTCTTGGAAAGCTGGGAATGGAGCCACCATTTGACCCAGCTATTCCCCTTCTCGGTCTATTCCCTAAAGACCTAAAAAGAGCATGCTACAGGGACACTGCTACATCGATGTTCATAGCAGCACAATTCACAATAGCAAGACTGTGGAACCAACCTAGATGCCCTTCAATAGATGAATGGATAAAAAAAATGTGGCATTTATACACAATGGAGTATTACTCTGCATTAAAAAATGACAAAATCATAGAATTTACAGGGAAATGGATGGCATTAGAGCAGATTATGCTAAGTGAAGGTAGCCAATCCCTAAAAAACAAATGCCAAATGTCTTCTTTGATATAAGGAGAGTAACTAAGAACAGAGTAGGGTCGAAGAGCATGAGAAGAAGATTAACATTAAATAGGGATGAGAGGTGGGAGGGAAAGGGAGAGAGAAGGGAAATTGCATGGAAATGGAAGGAGACCCTCAGAGTTATACAAAAGTACATACAAGAGGAAGTGAGGGGAAAGGGAAAAATAATACAAGGGGGACAAATGAATGTCAGTAGAGGGGGCAGAGAGAGAAGAGGCGAGGGGAGGGGAGGGGAGGGGAGGGGGGATAGTAGAGGATAGGAAAGGCAGCAGAACACAACAGACACTAGTATGGCAATATGTAAATCAATGGATGTGTAACTGATGTGATTCTGCAATCTGTATTTGGGGTAAAAATGGGAGCTCATAACCCATTTGAATCAAAGTGTGAAATATGATATATCAAGAATTATGTAATGTTTTGAACAGCCAACAATAAAAAATTTAAAAAAAAATTATCTAATTTGGGTTTCAAATATGTTAGGTATGACACCAGAAGACATACTGATTTGGAAAATAAAACGTGATCTGGGGAGGTAACTCAGTAGCAGAACATTTCTGAAGCATGCACAGGGATTCAGCATCACAAAACAAGAAAAATACAACCTTCATATCACAGTCTTTCAAACTTATAAAAAAAATCTCAAAAAAAGGCCTCAGGATCAAGATCAAATCAAGAGTGTGCTCTGTTAATAGAAGATTCTTTGTTAAGACTTCAGAAAGCTATAAGGTGTGCACAGTTGAACCTTGTGGCTAGAAAAGGGATTATAATAATTTTAGGTACAGTATGAAATGCTCAATGATAGAAAAAAAACTTTCTAAAAAATAATTATAGATGTAGCTTTGGGGACCCAAAAACCCAATTAGATTCATTGAAAATCCCAAAGTTTTTAGGAGTCATATTAGCAAAAACACCACCAGCTAAAACTAAAGCATACAAACACAATCCAAAATGAAAAAAAAAAAAAAAATGGCATGTGGAACCCCAACTTCTACACAGGAAGCCAGTTGAGTTACTTGCTGCAGCACAGGCCATTTCTAATTATAAAGGAAAGATGTCTTAGAGAGTGGGGACAAGACCTCAGGAGCAGGGATGGGTTAGGGAACTACTCTCAGGAAGTAAAACAAGACCCTAATAAAGACCCATCTGCCATCCCTGGAAGACAGTGAGCAGCTGCTGACATGTTCATGGCTGGAGCTGCTATACACCAGGGACTGCCAACTGTATCCTCTTCCTCTTTCTGAACAGAGGTTTATTGCTGTAATCCTATACTTATCTCACCATTGTGTCTTGGATGTGCAGGGAGCAGATAATCTTCCTTTGTAGTTCATGGGTCTCTGAATAAAGAGAATTTGTACCCAAGGAATTTCATAGTTGATCATATCATATCATGAGGTATTGAACTTTAAGCTTAAAGCCATAAATGGATAAGATTTGTGGTGGGGGAAGGGGGGGCATTGTAAAGTGGTGAGTATATTTTACATACGGAAAAAATTTAGTTATAGCTAAATAGTAGATTAAGGTGGATTAAATATTACCAATCCTTTTATAACCATTAGGATCCTATTTCCCCATTCCTTGAATCTGGGCTGACCTCAGGACTTTCTTTGACCAATGAAAAGCAACAGAACTGACATAGACTTCTAAGTCTCTGAGGCCTTGCAACCACCTCTCCCTCTCTCAGAACATTGCTGCTTTGTAAACAAGTCCAGCCCAGCCCCATGAAGGATGAGACATCTCCTAGAAAGGAGGAGGCCCATATTCCTCATCATCCCAACCATCCAGGCAACCAATTAAGACCCCATACATGACAATGGGAGTAAGACCATCTGGAACCAGCCAATTGTCAACCCACACACCAACTTACGCAACTATATCAGTGAGCCTAAGAGTTTATAAAGAAGAACTACCTAGTTGAGCATAGGCCAATTTGTCCAAATTGGTTGTTGTTATTAGCCACTACATGTTAGTATAGTTTGTTATGCAATAATAAATAACCAAGACAGCCTTCCAAAGATACCTGCTCATAATCAACCTCCAAAAATGTTTAAATGAGTCGTACAAGGTCCACAAAGGTAAGAGAGAACAGAGCTGGAGAGAACCCAAGCATCTCAACTAACTCATCAAAGCTCTTTGTATGACTATAATAATCTTCTCATAACTTTTAAACCACTAAAACAAGAAGAGAAAATAGAAATGGCTTAGATAAACTATGAAAAGTGGCTAAGGGAAATTTTAGAAGAGTCTTTAGCTAGGGTCATTGTTCAATTTCTATATAAATGAATATTTTCCATATATACTTGATCAGGATATGTTTTTACACATATATACTAGGCTATTCATACTACATCTCAAAATAATAAAGATTGTTAGTATATAAGATACATTCTTTACTAAAGTTAAGTTCTATGAATTGCACTGTCATTCAAACGTTTTTATAATTAGACTATCTCAGAATTATATATATGCTTTTATTTCAAATTACTTAACAAAAACATTGTATGTAAGATGGGTAAGCAAAAGCAGTGATGGAAATAGAGACCATTTTAATATCATAATATTGCATGCTAAATTATTTCCTTTTTCTCTTCACAAATACAATGACATGAACAAAGTAGGAAACCATGGTGCAGAAATGAGGCAGATGTCAATGCACGAATTGACATACAAACACAGAAAACCATGCCCCACCACACAGATGGCTGGCTCTTACCTTTTTCTGACATATGGCAGATATTTCAGCTGTAAGGGGAAGGTACACAAAATATCAACAAAGAAAGAAAGCCCATTTTAAATAAGGGCAGCCGTGAAGGATAATTTTTAAAAAACAATCATAATTCACACAACCTTGAAACAGCTAAACAGCTTTGGACTTGTCTCATAAGTTGTCATCTACTTTTCCTGGCCTCTATTTTCCTCCTAAAGTATAAAATATCTCTTTCTTACCTGATAGTGATATCAGGATTTATGTTTAATAAAGTTAGAAACACCTGCATGAAGCAAATACGTCCCCTAGTCTCACAACTAACCCAATTTTCTCAGTTATGACTTAGAACTATCAGATCACATTAAAGTCAAACAACTTTAATCCTAACCTCCTCATTTTATAGAGGACAAAATAAGGGCCACTATGGTTGGATGTATTCTTCAAGATCTTATAGCATATCAATGATAGAGACATATGTATAGGTACAGTTTCTACATCCCCTATTCGCTGGTTTATCCAATACAATATGATACTGGTTTGATATGATATATTTAGATCGCTATCATGCCATGCTCTGCTATATCTAAAGTGTAGAAAAAGCCTACTACCTTGGTCTACTTACACTTGAACTATCAATTTATACCAGACTTAACTCATGTAAAACCAGCTGTATGGTTATACAAGATAAACCAATTCTCAAAAACCAAAGGGTAGAACAGTTGGAGTAAGGCCATCAAACTACTGTCTACTTATAGAAATAACTTCAACAAATTCATAAAAAATCTTTTTAGTGGGCATACCAATTAGTTCCATGGAAATTGATGCTTAAGAAAAATACTTGAAAATAATTTTTCCAAAAATCTATTAGCATTTTTCTTGAAATAATAAGGACTTAAAAAAATGGATTAATGCCTTGTTATAGGATGGTATATGTTACGATTTATTTAAAGATTAAAAGTAAATGTCCCCCAAACTGTCTGCAAATTATGAATTAGTAGATGCCAAGTCAATGAAATTTATAACTCAGTCTTAAAGCTGCTTTTGTATAACTAATGGTAATTTAACAGTTTGATATCCTTAAATAATCTGAGGTTAGTGTCTTATCTCTAGATAAATAATAAAAAGTTATGATTTGGGGCTGGGGATGTGGCTTAAGCGGTATCGCGCTCGCCTGGCATGCGCGGGGTGCTGGGTTCGATCTTAGCACCACATAAAAATAAAATAAAGATGTTGTGTCCACCGAAAACTGAAAAATAAATATTAAAAAAGTTCTCTCTCTCTCTGTCTCTCTAAAAAAAAAAAAAAAAGTTATGATCAATTCTTCCAAAGATGAATGTCATCTACAAATGATGACCAAAATTCAGCAACATATCTTATATTTAAAATGTATTTTAGAAGCTAGGCACAGTGGCACATGTCTATAGTCCCAGCTACTTGGGGGCTGAGGCAAGGGAATCACTTGAGCACAGGAGTTTAGGACCAGCCTGGGCAACATACAACATTGAGAGGCCTAATCTCTTAGAAAATAAATAAATAAATAAATAAAGTGTTATTAGTACTAGACTATCAGCTTTACCTCAGAGCACTGGAAGCTCACTAATAAAGTAGCCCAGTTTAAGGGGGAAAAATTACCTTTACCCATAATACAAGCCCAAGCCTTCTACAGGCCCAAGCCTTTACATAACCTTATATAACTTTTCACAATGTCCTTTTGAAGGAAATAAAGACTGACATTATCGCTCTATTTTACAGAGATCAAGTAAGACTACAAAGAAGTAGTGTAATTATCATTGAGAAAATGCCTTAAGGTTGTTGTTTAAATGGTCACAGAATTTATTAACAGAAGGTTTTAACTTTTTTTTAAATGAGCCTTTCATATAAATCCTTTTACTATCTACATACTAAATCAGATATCAATTTCTTCCTGTGTCATTGATCTATACTCACTATGCCCCCAGCTTTTCCCACCCTTTGTCTTTCCTCTGCTTTGCTAAGTACTTTTACCTTGTCATTGTAGCCACCAATGAGGTGGCAAGAATACCTGCTTCTCCCACATGCAGAGGAATGCTCTCAGTAGGATCAATCAACTTTTTTGTTTTCAAGAGAGAGGGAATTTTTTTAATATTTATTTTTTAGTTTTCGGTGGACACAACATCTTTATTTTATTTTTATGTGGTGCTGAGGATCGAACCCAGCGACCGACCCGCGCATGCCAGGCGAGCACGCTACTGCTTGAGCCACATCCCCAGCCCGGATCAATCAACTTTTGAAACACAACTTTCAGAATTGAAACAAACATCAAAAAGTGTTGCAGGCCGGGTATGGTGGTGCACGCTTGTAATCTGAGCAGCTCGGGAAATTGAGGCAGGAGGATCACAAGTTAAAAGCCAGCCTCAGCAACTTAGCAAGGCCCTAAGCAACTCAGTAAGACCCTGTCTCTAAATAAAATATAAAAAAGGGCTGGAGATGTGGCTCAGTGGTTAAGTGCCCCTAGGTTTAATCCCTGGTATCAAAAAAAAAGTGTGGCAAATCTTGTCTTTCCACTGAAATGGGTTAGATGTACTTTATCCCCATTTTAGTGATAGGGAACCTGAGTCTCAGAGCAATTAAAGGCCATTCCCCCAAAATATAGTGTCAAGAAAAAGGCCCATTATTAAATTCTCTTCCCACTGGTGTTTTTTTTATTCTTTCTGACCTGGCACAGCAAAATATCATCAAAAAACCTGTTATATACACAGAAAATCCCTTACGACACAATTCAACAGGGCTTTAGTCCTACAGAAGCCTAACTGCAACATCTAACCTTAATTCTGATAGAGTTGATACTTTGCCCCTCATTATTAAATGTTTGGATATATAATACCAAGACAATGATAAAATGAATATCCCAATGAATATTCATGGGATATTATTCTTTGGTTACTGTCTTTGTAAAATAAAATAGCACAAAGGGAGATGAATCAACCATGTCATTAGTTGTGATTACTCATTATTCACACTTTCTGAAGTAAACCATACCTTGTGGCAGAAGAACATCAATCAACCACTCGCTGTGGTCCCTATAAAGAAAAATAAAATTCATTTTTGAGCTTCATTGAAATGCTCCCCTTCCACATGAATGTTTATAAGCTGCACACTATTGATGAAAGGCTTCTAATAGAAAGGATAATTAAGAGCACTATCATAATAAATTTTTAAAACTCTAATGCATTCCAGCTAAATTATAAATTATAGGCATTTCATCATATTCAGTTATCTTTAAATGATACTTTCCAGATGCTAATTATGCCAACCAAAATACTGCATGATCTGCACAAAACTGAGTGTGACTGCAAAAATAACAAGCAAAGAGAAGCCACTTGAATTACAGTATGTCATATTTGGAAACCACAGTCTCCTTTTACATCTATTTTTCTCTGAGGCCTTTTTAAAAGGCTACTTCAAAATTAGAGCTGCTTTATTAAGTGGAATTGCTTTCTCGTGTCACATGGAGAAAAACATTGCAAACAAAGCCCTAATCTTCTAAATGACACTTTGCTACATGTTAAATGTCAAATGAACCTTTAAAAAACACGGCAAGGGGCTGGGGCTGGAGTTCAGTGGCAGAGCCCTTGCCTAGCATGCATGAGGCACTTGGTTCCATCCTCAGCACCACATTAAATTAAACAAATAAAATAAAGGCATTCTGTCCATCTATAGCTACAAAAATAAAAATTAGAAAAACAAAAAGCATGGCAAGGCTACTGGGAAAGCTGTGTAATATAAGCAATTTAGGTCCAAATAATTTTTCTTATTTTCCCATTGAGAGTCCTATACCTACCCTGCAATCCTCTCACTGCATTCTTCACAGAGATACAATGGGGGTGGTTTATCCCCCAAAGCAACTGACAGGGAAGGGTCTATACACATCTGAAATACAAGAAAAGACAGATGAACTCTCCTGCTCCCGTATGATGAGTGCTTCACAGTGAGTGACACATTCCCACAGGCAAAGTGGAGTAGATATTAGTCAAACCCATTTGACCTGTGACTGCTCATACCACACTCACTGAGTGCACACTGAGACATTAATCGTGGCTGTGGTGGGTTTTCATTTCTCCTGTTATTTGCAATTAAAGAACAAACAGTGTCAAGAAACCCACACACATTCCACAAAGATAAAAAATCATCTATTCAATGGCTGCTTAAAATAAAAACAGTAATCTCCATTTTAAAAAAGGAAAATATATGATTATTTAGATCTTAAAATCACAAATGATATGAACCTGCTGGCAGTAAAGAACTTAGCTTCTTAAGACCCATTCAGAAAAAAATAGCATAAATCTAGCATTGAGTAGTTCACTCTTCTTACTCTGGAATCCTAGCTCTGTTACAGTCATCTAACATTTCATTTTCACGTTTTTAATTTTTTCTACACATGACCTACAATTTTTCACCCCCAATGCTTTGTTGTTTATGGCTGGGGTTTCACTAACCCAAGCACTGATGAAGTGTTCACTTCACAGTTGAGTGTCAGGATATTTCAAATACCTGGATGTTTTGGATCAAGGGAACACATTCAGATGATTAGCTGCATTCTGTACTTGGCTTCAATTTAAATCACAATGATTTCTCAAAGTCATTTCAAATTCTGTTCCCGGCTTTCAAGAAATAATCAACCCATGCTATAGCAAATGACACAATGAATGTCTAGTATACAAATTCTTCTAAAATTTCACTCTCTTCTTTAGTTGTTTTCATTGATTTGAAAGGGGAAAATGACCCAAATTTACAACCCAAAACAGACTGCAATTCAATTAAAACCCTGATGAGTTTCAGTGGTTGGGAAATAATAGTTAGAATTGCTAAATTTAAATCAACACACCATCAAAATTGTCAATTATGTCTTACCAGATTCTAAAGGCCTGGTTGTGTAAGTTTCATGCTTCCTTATATGCAATAATGAATAACTGCTTTTTGTTAAATCAGAGATTAGCACAATTTCTCTATGAATGACCAAAAAGTAAATATTTTAGGTTTTGTGGGCCATACAGTCTCTGTTACAACTACTCAACTCCACAGGTATAGCATGAAAGTGGCCTTAGATGAAACAAAAGCAAATGAGAATAGCTGTGTTCCAATAAAACTTTACTTACTAAAACAACCATCCAGCCAGATTTGGCTATGGATCATAGATGGCCCCAACCCCTGTCTTAAAATAATTATCTGAGATTCAGAGTACTTCATAAAGAGGACTTCAAACAGAACCAAGTAAAACCAAAAGCAGAGAGTGATATCATAAACCATAAGTTCCAGTATATTTTTAACATTAACCTTATTTATTGAAGCTGTTAACTTTTACTTAAAAAATTACTTTTTTGCACCCTATTTTAACAAAAATAGATAATGCTTTCCTATTTGGAAAACCATGAGAGCCTGGTGGCATTATGGAAATTCAACCTTTTGGAAAGGATTAATCCATTTTTCCTGAGCCTTTCCCATGCACCTCATCTATACTTTGTCTTGAGCATTATTACCTTACTCTCATTTCTAACAAGTCATTGATACCTCTGCCAGGTGTTCCACTCAAAAGGAAAAACTCCCTAGGATGTTAGCACTAGAGTCACTAGAGATTAGCTGGTTGACCACTTACCTGTTAAGTGACTTAATTAACATGACCCACCAGATTTCTGGGCAATAAAGTCAATTCTGTTCTATTCTAAACAGAGCAGTTGACACCTTTCCTAATGAGTTCATATCTGGATGTTGCATTAAAAAATGACTGTTTCTGTTTATGAATAAAATATTTGCCCATTACAGAGGCTCAGGAAATGAAGAAAAAGAAGGAAATTCAAATAACTCATTAACTCTCCATCCTGATCCATTGCCTGTAACATTCCAATGAGTTCAACTGGGTTTTTTTTTTACTGTGAATATGTATAGATGTGATATTTAAACTAAACTAGCATATTATGCAATATCATAACTTTGATTTTCACTTAATGTAATTTTGTAAGTATCTGGATGTTGGATACTTTTGATCTGAATGTCTCATGGTAATGATGCATGCTTGCAAGCACTCACACTGGAAATACAGAACAATACCAGGGTCTAAGTGCAAAAATGGCCCCAGTACAGGAAGCATTCACAAGAATGTTACCTTTCTGGAAAGTGCAGGGTTAAAATAGAAAAGAGAGTTCTTTAGGAAAACTAGAGATTGGCACATGAGATTTTGGTGATGAAAATGTCTTGGAACTAAATAAAATTAGGAGTTGTGTGAATATACCAAATATCACTGAATTGTTCAGTTCAAAATTGTTAATTTTATGGTATGTGAATTTTACCTCAATTTCTTAAATGACAGAAAGTAGACCTATCCTAGAGGACTGGCTTTGAGGAGAAAATTTAAGCCCAACCTAGAGGAATGGACTAGGCTGCTTGCCTAAAAGAGGAGAAAATCTAATTCCTGATTTATTTCTGTGATTAGAAGGCTGGAAAGCATTAGTAACAGATGTCAGAGCACTCCTGAGGATGCGGTCTGACATAAACTCTAGGAGAAAATAACTAGAGAAACCTGTAACAGGCAGACGGAAGGAAGGATATAGAAATAAAAGTAAGAAGGAACCATGCACATTTCATCCCTGTGAAAAATTAAGCAAGCTGAACTTCTTGAATAATATATGATCTCACATGGGTTTAGCTCAAAATACCTCACCACAATGTACCTGTGAACCCCAATGCCTACTGAAATAGGAGGTGCACATGGTGGAATGGGCGGGCCCACACTTCCATTGGCAGGTCACTATCATCTGCTCTTTGTCAACATTCATTAAATCTGCCTTCATCAGAGGCAGTTATGATATCTTGAGATTACCAGGTTGTTATTGGCACCTGGTTGCCACTTTTGGTGGCAAAATACATTTTTGGTTCTTTTTATATTTATTAGATCTCATTTTAACCATTCTTTGTTTTTCTAAAGTGATAGTATGATTTTCAATTATTTGATCATCTTCACCATCTCTCTATAGAAAGGGAAACAAACTCTCATGACAGTAGTTCTAAAAGTAACTGTGAACTCCAGTAACTTCAGCTAACACTAACTCCTCATCATTTGACATTTAACCCTTACAAATGCAGACACTAATCTATCCAGCCAAGTGTTTTATGTTCAACAAATACACCACACACAATTTTATTAAAGGATATGATTGTTTCTCTAACATTCAACATCCTAGATTTGGGGCTTTAGCAGGACCACACTGATCTGATGTTAAGAAAAGAATGAGGCTGAGAATAAGAGTACCTGATTCTGACCCCAGTGCTGACACTGCCTGTGTGACCACAGTTTCCTTATCTCTAATGTAACTTTCCACATGCATGCTATCCAAACACCTCTCAGTCACTTTGACCAACACTTCACAATTGTATCTATTTTTGCCCTAGAGTTCTTGAATTTGCACATTTGCACATTAGGCACTCCGACTTTGTAACACACATATGAAAACTGAGGGAAAATACATTTCCTTGAGTTTATTAGCTCAGATAGAAGCCAAAGAAGGGCCATTTAAGTGTTTCACCAGGATTTTTCTGATAATCAACTCAGTGCTACACAATACCGGGCCATGAACTCATATCCAAAAACTGCAGTCATGAGTACTCATTGCTCTGTCTTGACCCAGTCTGCTCAAGTACAGTTAGATTGAACATAGGTGATTGAACTTATTTGGCTTTGCTTTACAGAGAAGCATGCACTCTTCTCCACTTCATTCAGTAATTTGCTCCTAATAATGTGTCCACTGAAAATAAAACATGGAAACAAGTCCAATAAAACAGTACCTTCACAGCTGGCTTGTTAATTGCATTGTGGCATTCAATGTGCTGGCAGTGGATGGGATTCCAAGCTGTAAAGCAAAATAGAGCCGATGAGCACTTCTCATTGAAATTATTCCTGCTCTAGTGAAAACGCAGCATACTTCACTAGCTTTTTTTTTCCTAAGTAGAAGCACCATCAGATGGCTTCCTAGAAGAATCATTTTTTAAAAATCTATGAAAAATGTTTAAATCAGGCAAAGATATCACAATTCTATCCATTTTCCCAAGAAGAGAAAGACAACAGAAGGCAGCATACACCATATATTACCTCACAATGGTAACATTAACAAGTCTGCAAAAGTTTTTACAACTATATTTTCACTTGATTCCACAATAACTCAGTGGGCTATCTATAGCCGATTATTACTTCATTTAATGTAAGAGTAAGTTTTGAAATTAAAAAGGTCAAGTAGCTTGATATGGTCATAGACAGTCAACACAAGTTGGGTCTTGAACCTATATCCCTTGATTTCTGATGCTCTGCTCTTTTCACTGTGGTATACTATAATAAAAATCTTATATTTTTTGGTGTCAGGAAATATTTCAAATTGATAAATGGCCTAAGGCATCCTCCAACATTCCATTTCCCTCTGCATCCCCATCAAATGTAGAAACTGGGAAGATAAGTTTATTGCCCAAATGAAACTGATCTCTCTCTCTCACATGACCCACGTACTGAACCTCTGCTAGTTTGCTGACATCCGTATCTGACTCCTTAACTAAGCATATATAAAGGATGAGGAAAAGAACTAAGTGACCTGGGAAAAATCACAGCCAGTAATTACCATCCTCCAGATGATCATGTAGCCCAATGAGTTAACTAGTAATATTCCATCATTTTTTTTAAATGTAATGTGCCTGAAAGTAGGACATCCTTCTAAATTGCCATATACTAAACTTATAGGATCACAGGTCAATTTTTTTAAAAAGAAGATAAGAAGTATACACCAAAGACCACTGTTCTAATAATATAGTAGCATACTGCTTATATCTTTAGAGAAAAGAAAGAAGAAATAAATGAGTAAATGAATGAATGAAGAGATAATTTGGATAGGGGTATTTCATAACAGATTTGTTTCCCAAATGTAGAAAAATCAAGATGAATACAAAGAGTGGCAATATATTTTCCTGTGCAATTAGAGAAACTTAAAGACAGTGATTGCCTTTAACTGAATATGCATTGTAAATACATAGGACATGTGGCCCATTCCTCTAATCCCAAACTCATGACAGACATCACAGCATTCCTTCCTACTGAATGTGCAAGAATGTGCAAAAGTCATAGCACTTGATCAGGGTTCTAAATACTTCTGCTCTGCCATAAACCCATGCCTTCTGTGTGGATAGTGGGGATATGCAGGAGGTTGCATTCCTCTCAGTTTTCATTCTACTTTTACCAAGTGTCACTGAATTAGAAATATTTTGTAGGATACTATGTTCATCACGTTAGGAGAAGGGAGATTCTTAGATTTTGCTAATGTCAAAAATCACTTGTCACTGGATATGGTGGCACATGTCTATAATCCCGAGACTTGGGAGGCTGAGGCAGGAGGATCACAAGTTTGAGGCCAGCCTTAGCAACTTAGTGAGATCCTCCAATAATTTTTTTTTTTTAAAACCTGTCAAGGTTTTTAAAATATGAGATCTAAAGCCCATGTTAGATCTATTGAATCAAAATTTCTGAGGTTAGCTAGGGACAGTGGTACATTCCTATAATTCCAGCTATTCAGGGAACTGGAGGCAAGAGGATCATGAACTCAAGCCCAGCCTGGGAAACTCAAGACTCTACTTCAAAACAAAAAAATAAAGAGGGCCCAGTGGAAGAGAACTTGCCTAGCATGCACAAGGCCCTGGATTCCATCTCTGGTAATACACACACACACACACACACACACACACTCTCTCTCTCTCTCTCTCTCTCTCTCTCCCTCTCTCTCTCTCTCTCTCTCTCCAAAAAACAAAAAAAAAAACTCTTGAGAATAGAGCACAGGTATTTGTAAATGGGGAAAGCACTACAATTTATTCTGATATAAAGACAACCTACACACCTAATCTTGTGGCAAATATAGTCATAATGAAGCTAGGGGACAAAAGGCAGTCAATGTAGATAATAAATAATTGGATTGGATCAGGAAGATGGACGCTGATTTGGCTCTGAGAAGATGGAGGCTGCCGCTGGAGAATTGAAATGCTATTGCCGCCAGAGCCCTCCCCCTCCTCCCCCCAATCTGTTGCTAAGGTTACCTGCCTCCAGAGAACTGTTCCTCCCAAAAGGTTGTTAATGAAGCACCTCCTGGGCGGCCCTTGTTCCTGCCCTGTTCTGGAAGGCTTTCTCCTCACCTATCTTTTGGCATCTGGTCACATAGACAAGATAAAGGGAGGAGGAGCGCATGAGAACAAAGAAAATTTAAAATGTGTAAAAGGGACAGGACACCCCCACTTCCTCTAATACCCAGCTCTCTGCCCATTCTCTGTGGAGAAGTCTATCTCTGTTCTATCCTTCAAATAAAACTTGCTTTCTACGCTTTCCTTTCAAGGCGTTTCTCAGGTGTTCAAACTTCATATCTGGGGAAATGGAACTCAGCCCTGACTGATTCTCATCACCAGCAGTAGCAATAATAGAGCTCCACTCAAAAATAGTAGCAAAAAAACAGTGTAAAAGCACAACAAAATTCTGTTTCCAATTGTGATGGAGTAATTGATATTATACTTGCCTTCCCATCATAAACAACTAGAAAACTAAAATAAATAAATAAGTGTGTGTGTGTGTGTGTGTGCGTGCGCATACACACACACAAACATACATATAAAACAACTATTTGGGAAACTGAACTACAGATAATGTAGGGAGGACAGTGCTTCGTGAGAGAAGAGAAATAATGCAGTCAGTCCCATGATCACTTGGTTTTCAGCCTGAACACAATCTCAGACTTGGTCCAAAAAGGAGAAAGACAAGCAGAGCAGAGCGGGGGTTTTTTGTTTTTGTTTTTGTTTTTTGTTTTTAGTTGAGGGGACAGAAACCATAGCTTGAAGAGGCAAAGTGCTGTTTTGTTAGGTAGAATACCAAGGAATCAGGAGCTGTGCAATCATAGCTATAAAAATCTAAGTGGGATTCTCCTTTGGTTTTAGCTTTATATTAAGCCAAACAAGTCTAAGGTAAATAAATCTCCATGAGAATGGATTGACTGGGGGGACTATAAACTAAATAATTTTTAGAGTTTATACCTAGCTGGGAGATGTTCTAGTTCTAACCGCTAAAGTGGAGGAATTCACTGAAGCATTTAATAGATACTCTGGGAAGGTCACACCTAAGTAATAGGGCTAAGCTAACATGGAAAAGGCCACTCTAGGGTCTCCGTAACAAAGCCTGAAAGGGTCAAGCTGATCCACAAGTAACATGATTGCCAAAAAAGATTTAATGCACTATAATGGAAGACAAAAAATCCAGACATTCACAATAATGCAATATTCATGAAATCAAGCATCAGTCAAAAAGCACTTGATATTTGAAAGGAGGAAAATGTTGCTGTAAGCCAGGGGAAAAATCAATAGAATCAAGCCCAGAAATTACAAAGATGAAATAGCAAACAATGTTTTTAAAATACTATTATAAACATATTCAAAGGAAAACATAATCATGAACATAATGAAGATAAAAATGAAAAAATAATAAAAGAACCAAAGGAATTTATAAAAATAAAAAAAAATGAAAAATGAAAAAAAAAATCAATAAATAGGTTTTACAGCATATTAGACAATGCATAAGAAATGAATAGTGAATTGAAAGGCATAATAACAGAAACTATCCAAAGTGAAGTACTGGAAGAAAACTAAGCTTCAGTGAGCTACGGGAAAATTTCAGGTGATATGATTAAAAGCACAAAAGAACCACAGTATAGTACATATTTTTTTAAATGACCAAATTTTTCAAGTTTGAAGAAAATAATTAACTCACAGATCCAAGAAGGTCAATGAATCCTAGGCAAGGAAAAAAAAAACCCAAAGAAAATCACATCAAAATTAATATAATGAAAACAAAACCAATGATAAGAAGGAAATCTTGAAAGTATCCAGAAAACAAACAAAAAGACACTTTACTCACAGGAAAACAAAGACAAGTTAAGAATAATCATTGGTTTCTCATCAAAAGAAATAATAGCCAGAAGACAATGGAAAGACATGTTTAATAGGCTGAAAGCAAAAAATACTGTCAACCTAGAATTCTATCCCCAGAGAAAATACTCCTCATAAATGAGTATTACATAAAGGCTATTTGAAGACAAGTACCAGGTAAGAGAATTTATCGCCAGTTGAGCTCCACTGAAGGATACCAAAGAGAAGCTCAGGCTACACAAAGGTATAAAGAGTGCTATACAAGAAGACTATAGAAGACTTCTTTACTCAATATGTTATAAAAAGATAACTATTTAAAATAGAAGTAATAGCTATGTATTGTGAGGTTGACTGTGTGTGTGTGTGTATGTGTGTGAAAAATGTTGATAACAAGTACAAAAAGAATGCAGAGGGACAAATGAAAATAAATAGGTTCTTATATTAACATGTAAATTGGTATAATAATATTTAACAGGTAGAGGTAAAGTTAAAAATGCACATTGTAAATGAAAACTATAGAACACTAAAGAAAGAAATTGAAGAAGATGGAAAGATCTCCCATACTCTTGGATAGGCAGAATTAACATTGCCAAAATGGCCATACTACCAAAAGCACTGTAGAGATTTAATGCAATTCCTATTAAAATCACAATGGCATTCTTCATAGAAATAGAAAAGGCAATAATGAAACTCATTTGGAAAAATAAAAGACACAGAATAGCCAAAGCCATCCTTAGCAAGAAAAAAATGAAGCAGAAGGCATCACAATACCAGACATAAAATTATACTACAGAGCCACAGTAACAAAACAACAGGTATGTAGACCAATGTTACAGAAGACACAAAGACAAACCCACATAAATACAGTTATTTCATACTAGACAAAGGTACCAAAAACTTACTTGCGAGAAAAGAG